CTGTTGAAGGTGGTGGCCAGTTCGCCATTGTGGATGGCACAGCCCTGCTGACGCAAGACATGGTGGTAGGACGGCGCCTCCGCCGCGAAGGCTGCAAACCGCTTAGGGAAGTGGTTTCTGAGGCCTGACCAGATCTTGTGCAGCAGTGGCTCAGCTTCTGGGCATACACTGTACGCTAAGCGCAGCATCCCGGAGAAACCCTTCTTTCGCTGAGCCCCTGCCTGGTACCAGTCCTGTGTGTCCACAAGGAGAAGGCGTGGCGGGTCAGCATACGCCGGGTTTACAGCGAGGTTGCTGGGCCCAACATCGCAGATTGAGACGTTTTTGCTCTCCACCCACGTTAGGACTGCTCCAACGTAGAAGAGGAACTCCTTGATCTGCTCTTTGCCCATGCTTTTAAAGCGCTCAACAGCGAGCTCAGAGCGCTTTTGCACCAGGCCGTAAAAAGTGACTAGCTCAGTGGCAGGGCCAGCTTGCATAGCAACGTGCACTCTGCCTTGCCAGACCACTTCAGCGGTGATGGACGGGAACAAGGTGGACATCAGCGCTTCATTGCCGTGCGGGGCATCCGCAAGCTTGATGACCATCCTCTCATTATACCCATACACCACTCTCCAATTGCCCTTGCCGACCATGCGGAGTTGCCTTGGTGGCCGCATCAGGACATTGCTGAAGACATCCTTGAGCAAGAACATTTCCTGCGACAAATAATGCCGCGGTGCCTTCGGGTGCTTTTGGTTAGCTTGCCTCACAGCCACTATGTGAGGCTCGGGCTGCGGATCCTCTTGTTTGACTGGCGTTGCAGAGGCCCACTGCTCTATGAGCATTGCCAAAGTTTGCTCCTCCAGAGGCTCCATCTCCAAGGAACCCGCCGAAGAAACTTCTGAGTCCGAGCTTTCATCGTCATCTATTGGTGCACCGGAGGGGGCATCCCCACTGCCGGTGCTTTGCTGTTCCCGCTTTGGTTCGGCCTTTGCACTGCTTAATGCAGTGCTGGCACCAGAGGAGGCAACTTCCATGCTGGTGGCTCCACTGCCTTGGGCGGTGCTTTGGCCAGAGGAGGCATCCTCTCTGCTGGCTGCTGGCCGGCCTTCTTCATCCTTTGCCGCTATTGAGGGGGAGGCAGCCTCACCTCCTGGAACAGCGACCGCTGCTTCCCTTGCTCCCGGACCCTCTACTAACCTGATGGCCTGAGCTCTGCGCGGGGCAGGGGGAGGGGGCGGAGTTCGGGACTGAGTTCTGGGCTCGGCTTTTGGTTTAGCCTTTGCCCTCTCGTGCTGATGGCTCCTGTTCCTGTTGCGGGTAGCCGCTGTGCGGCTGATATGTGGAAGCCCTTGGCGCCTCCTTTGCGCCATCAAAGCCTGGTACTCGTTCTCGGGTATCCTGGCCAAGACGAGTTGACTTGTTCACTGAGAGGCTGCTTGGGCCCCTGCATCGAAACTGGCGGTCGTCTCCACCT